AGGGCCTAAGGTTAGGCTCAATGGCACGATCAATGGACCCGTATTTCATTACATACCTGTTCATTGTCAAAACGTTGTTGTAGCCTTGCAAACTAATTTGTTAATAGGCTTTTTGTGCTAATAGAATATTAGATGTAGGTGAAGTAGGGGATCCAATGAGATTTGAAGGAGCATTGCTAGATGGCATAGGACAACATAGTGTTAGTTGTGGCTCCAAATTAAACTTGCCTACGGATGGCATGAATGATACTATATTTGCATTGTTTTGCTAGGCGCAATCATTCTACCATGCTCGGTAAGAACTTTCTGTTGATGCAAAAAGATTCGAAAAAAATGTTAGCGCCAGCGTGACACCGCTTCAGTACCGAGTTTACCAAGATCTCCTCATCTCTTGGTCGTCGAGGTATTGATGGGTTTCAGCACCTGTAGATTAGATGAGAGTGTATGTTTGCTCAATCTAGTCTCGAACATGTATTTGCCATTGCTACGGTTTTCATGCTTTTAGCCACCGCTGTTGTCTCGAACATGTTAGGATTTGAGTGAACTGATCTTCACCAAATAGAGAAGTGTGTTTCAGTTGTTTCTGACGGTTATTGCACACATTTTGTACTAAACTTGCAAATTTCCTTATTTGCAATTTGTATAGGTGCAATGCACAATTTTCGATACCAAGAATAAAAACCCATTTGTCTCTGTCCTTCTATAGAAAAATTATAATTTGTTAATTGTGATTTGTGCCAATATAGACCACATTTTTGTCCTTGTATTTACATTGTTTGTGAATTTTGCCATTGCCTGGACCTAGATCACTGTCTGGTTCTCTTATTCCCCACCCACCCTCTCAACCATTCTCTGTCTCTCTCTCTTCCCGCCCTAGAAGCAGCTAACAACTATAGATAAACCTTCTGTCTGTATGAGTTCTTGTTGCACAGTGCTTGTTTCTTGTGATTTGTGCCAACACAATTTTTTGTGACAGTACTTGTCCCTTCAATGGTTATATTCAAAGACTAGCTGAACTGTAGGAGTAAATTTAGCTAATATTTGTTCTTGATCTGCGCTTGTGTTGGGCCATGTGCTCACTACTTTGGATTTTTAGTTTTCTGACCTCTATTAATTGGTGTCCTTTGCATCTATCTTCAACAATCTGAATTCAAATAGGCTATCCGGATATATCACTAATGAGATTGGCGCTTGTTCATCATTGAGGATGTAAGTTGAACTTCGAGTATCATGTTTATTTGTGGTTGTGGCCATGGGTTTTAGCATACAGTGCTTTTATTCAAACTTGCCTTTTGCGTTTAGGGACTTCTCCTTCCAACAACTTGGATGGTGACATATCATTTTCAATATCAAAGTTGCGATTTTGTTGGTGTTTGTGATTTCTAGGATATTGAAGAAAACCAGTGATGACCGGTGTGATCCCATCAACATTGTCATAGCTCTCAAATTTGAAGATCTAAGTTAGTTTTTATCTGAATAAAGAAAATAAGAAAAATAAAAGGCACCAAAGAACAAATATTGTCCTAGCTCGTGTTTTGGCGAAAAGATTTTGGGCTTGCAGGGCAATTAGATGGAAGCGTTTTCTCCTTATATGTACCAGATGACTGGCCTTTGGTTCTTGTAACTTGCCTAGTCTACTGCAAGTTAGTTATGCAGTAGTCTACTTGCCTAGTCTCTGCAAGTTAGTTCATTCTTTACTCAAGAGAAATTATTATGCCTTTGTTGTTATGCGTTCATAATTTCTTCTCCGTGAGACTTGAGTGTGTGTATCCAACAAATCATAATGAAATACTAATGTCTTTATTTATAATTGCATTTTTCAATACTAGAAATTGCATTTGTTGGAATGCGCAATTTTCGCAGTTAGATTTGTGATTTTTTGTGTTTGTGCCAACACTGATTAGTTTGTTTTTTGTTTAGATATAGATCAGGCATTAAATCTACTTACAACATGCTTCACATGCATGCAGCTTATATTGTTCACTATCATCAGAGAAAGAAGAGGTCTGTAATTCACTGTGTTCGCTCTGTTCAGTTCTTGCACGATTTGAATTCTTCTTAGGTTGGCCACTTGATCAGGTTGTGCAATTGTGATCTATAAGGCCTAGAAGTCATTCAGCACTTGGAGCAAGTAGTAGGGGAACTGACCAGCTAAACTGGTGTCTCCATGCAGCTGATCTAACATTAGGCAAATGTGTCTCCCTTAGCAGATCAAGTAGTTTTTGGTTTTTGGTGCATTTTTGTGCGGTCTTAGCTAAGGCAGTAATAGTACAATCTGATTTGAGCACATACACAATGGTAGTGCTACAGTTTATAAGGCCTACAAGGCATTGAACACTAATACAATTATGGAATTTGTACACAACAGAGGAGAGTTCCCATGCCTGATTTTCTTGCAAAGTGGTGTGTGATTCAATCGGCCATGTTTTTTTCTTCCTGGAGGGTTCAATGAGAGTTGTAATTGTCTGTGTGCTTCTATGTCTGCATTTCTTTGGACCGATAGGGTCATTTTGGGTCAAACAAGCACCAACTTCAGTTAACGGGTATCGATCATGCGCCTGTTAAGGTTTGGCAGGCCCGTAGCCACATGTGTTGGGTTTGTGGGTTCATTCGCGGACCCGTTAGCCTTGGCAGAAGAAGAAAAACAACAGAGACCATTTGAACCCTTGGATGCAGGTCCAAGGGTTGTGCTCGTCGACTGAAAAAAGCTCTATATTTCAGTCGACTGGGATATAGCAAGTCCCAATATTATATCTAATCCACTCTATTATACATTGTTTCGGCGATCCAAGAGGGCAGTAATATATGGGGTTTAGCTCCACGAGGCCACACGACTTCTGAAGTTTTGATCTGCACAACATGTACAGTGTAGCATCTTTAATTTTTAATACATGTTATGTTACATAAATAGCCACGCGCGCATCACGAGCACATGCACTGAGAAAGTCAGCTGGCCGCTTGTGAGTTGGGACCGGCGCCGGAGCTTGTGTCGGTCGGTGTGGACGTGTACTGATCGATGGTACCGGCCGGGCCGGCCAGCCAGCAGGGCGCCGCCGCCGGAGACTGAACGCCCGAGGAGCACAAGCAAGCAGCCGACCAATGCACGCAAGCCGTTTGTGGAGAAGGTCCACAGTGTTAAGTAGCAGCAGCCAGCAGGAGTCCTGGCATGCATAAGACTGACTCCAACGATGAGACTCAAATGCAAAATAGGTCACGCACAATGTTTTTTTTTTAGTAAAAGCACGTTCCAACGGATGACCCAAACCAAAGACGCATTTTGCGTTCGAGCTGGTCCGAGACGCAGACAGAGACGACGCAAATCGGCCAAACAAAGAAAAAAAAAGGAACGCACCATTCCCCATCCTCTTCGTCGCTCGCTCCGTCCCGACGCGGCGGCGGCGCCTCCCGCGGTCCCTCACGTCCGTCCGCCCTCCACCCCCTTGTCCTCTCGCGCTTGCTTCGCTTTCTTCTTCGTCTCCCGCCTACTCTGCTGCTGCGTCTCTCCCGTGCTGCCGCCTTCTGTGCGTGCCTCGCCGTCGCCGTTGGTCGGCCGGCCGCCGTGGCGGACCTGCGGCGTCACGCGTCGGCCGTCGGTGCGCTGCTAACTGCTCTGCGCGTCCAGTCGCCGCTGTACCTTCGTTGCTCCCTCTTCCCTCCTCTTCTGCTTACGCCCGCGGCGTTTCTTGCCTCCGTCCACTCCCTGTGTCGACCTTTCCTTAGCGCCTCACCCGATCTCGCGTCGGAGCTCGCAGCTCGGTGGCCGGCTGCGGAGAAGACGAAGACAGAGGAGCAAGCGGCACCGACGGAGGAAACTGCGAGTCTTTTTTTGGTTAGTTGTTGAAGAAGGTTGGTTTTTTACGTCCGTGACTCTTTGCTGTACGTGACCCAAATCCTATAACAGGTCTCATGTTTGCGTTCTACGACAGTCTAAGGGACGGTGACGAACGCGCGCGGGCGACGACATGCATGCCTGTGGTTCGGTTCGTTTTTGCCTTGCGCGCGTCGGCACGCAGTCCACACTCCACAGGGAATCAATGCAAGTGGCCATATGCATGATGGATGAGCTGGTGGGGTCGCCCAGGTGGGAAAGGACGTAGTACTACGTGGCGTCCCGTCGCTGTCTGCGTCTGCCGGCGCCGCCCAGCAGGAGTAGGCACATGGATGTAACACACGGCACGGCAGGCACTCTGCGGCCTTGTTTAGATTGCCTTAAAATTTCAAGTTTTTTCACTCTTTCTTCGTCACATCAATTTTAGAGGTATGCATAGAGCATTAAATATAGGTAAAATAAATAACTAATTACACAGTTTGGTTATAAATTACGAGACAAATCTTTTGAGTCTAGTTAGCCCATGATCAGACAAAGTTTGTCAAATACAAACGAAACGTACAACATTGTCCAGATTACAAAAATTTGCAATCTAAACGAGGCCAACGGATCGATCCAGTGCAGTGGCAGCAGCTCCGACTGGCAGGGAGGGAGAGGGAGGCGCACGACGGCTTTAAAAGCCGACGCCCTGCTCCGCCCTGGTCGCCGGTCGCCGCCGCCGCAGATCCATTACTGTACTACTTTAAAAGCTAGCTGTTCATCGATCAGGGGATCGATCGGAGTTGCACGTACGGCAGAGCTAGCTAGGTACCTCCTTTTAGGTCTGGTTTAGTTCCCGAAAATTTTCACCCTAAACTATCACATCGAATCTTGCGGTACATGTACGGAGTATTAAATATAGATAAAAAAAACTAATTGCACAGTTTAGTTGAAAATCACGAGACGAATGTTTTAAGACTAATTAGTCCATGATTAGCCATAAGTGCTACAGTAACTAACATACGCTAATGATGAATTAATTAGGCTTAATAAATTCGTCTCGCTGTTTCCAGTCAAGCTATGTAATTAATTTTTTTTATTAGTATTCGAAAACTCTTTCCGACCTTCCAAAACATCCGATGTGACATTAAAAAAAAATCATTTCATGAACTAAACACACCTTTGTATCGAGATGTTGTTCAGAGCAGTAGTGCAGCACGCCCTCAGGTATATATGAGTTTGATCGGCCTCAACTTGCATTGTTTGTTCTTTGGATTGATCCACAACTAGCTAGCAACAAGCACGTTGCTTCCTTTTTTATTCGTTTTTGCATGCATTGGGTTCTTCAATTCGTTCAGTGTGATATGATGTACCTAACCTATCTCTATCGCAGGCAGGGAAAGAGCCGAGCTGCGGCGCCGGTGGCCCTGCTGCCCGGCGTCGGCGTCGTCGGCGCCGGCCGCTTCTCCACGGCCGCAGCAGATGACTCGCAAAGGCTGGCCGGGAAGGTGGCCCTGATCACGGGCGCCGCGAGCGGGATCGGTGCGGCGACGGCGCGAAGGTGGTCCTAGCGGACGTCCAGGACGACCAGGGCCGCGCGCTGGCCGCGGAGCTGGGCGCGTCCGCAGCCTCCTACACCTGCTGCGACGTCACGGACGAGGCCCAGGTGTCCGCCGCCGTGGACCTGGCCGTGGCCCGGCACGGCGCGCTGGACGTCGCCTTCTGGAACGCCGGGGTCGTGGGGTCGCTGTCCCGCCCGCCCCTGGGCGCGCTGGACCTCGCCGACTTCGACAGCGTCATGGCGGTCAACACGCGGGGCGTGGTGGCTGGGGTCAAGCATGCCGCGAGTGTCATGGTGCCGCGCCGCGGGGGTAGCATCATCTGCACCGCTAGCATCGCCGGCGTGCTTGGATCCGTCACGCCCCACCCTTACAGCGTGTCGAAGGCGGCCGTGGTGGGCCTCGTGCGCGCCGTCGCAGGGGAGCTCGCGCTCTCCGGCGTGCGCGTCAACGCCGTCTCTCCTAACTATATAGCTACGCCGCTCGTCATGCGTATCCTCCAGGAGTGTGTACCCGGAGCGGACCGCCGACGAGCACAGGCTCATCGTGGAGAAGCGCATCAACGAGATGGATGGCGTCGTGCTCCAGCCGGAAGACATCGCGAGGGCGGCGCTGTATCTGGCGTCCGATGAGTTCAAGTACGTCAACGGCCACAACCTCGTCGTCGATGGCGGGTTCACGGTCGGGAAGGTGCCCAACATGCCGCCATTTGCGCAGTGAGCAGTAGCGAGTAGATCGGACGGCTACAATGGCTTCATTCGCGTCTTCTTTTTTCGTGAACAAAAAACTTTTGAATAAGCTGTCTTGTACCGGAACAGAAGTCCAGCAGCATTCGCCATTCTCTCGATCGGTTCTTCAGCATCTGAACTCCAGCCATTCACCATTTGTTACTTGTAATATCTTCCGATTAATCCCATTGGGATACGAATTTACACTTTATCATGCATGATGTCTTTTACTTTTTTCGTAAGTCATTTAACTACTGGAGATGACTTCTTTGTCGAGGGTCCCGGTCTTTACCGAGTGCTTTTTATCCGGCGCTCAGCAAAGATATTATTTGCCGAGTGCCATGGAGAAAGCACTCGGCAAACAAATGGCACTTGACAAAGACCAGGTTTGCCGAGTGTCGGGCACTCGGCAAACCGGAACACTCGGCAAAGTGGTGATTTGCCGAGTGTCATTTTTTGACACTCGGCAAACCATATTTTTTTTTTTGACCTCCAAACTTTTTCTGCAGTCCTCATACAATATCTGGTACTCCAGGTTCCAATGTGGCATATTTCTCTAAACTTTTTCTGCAGTCCTCATACAATACGTACGATGCCAAGAAAATTCAATTAAATAAAATAAATTAAAGAAATATAGAAAAGTCCGAGAAATGTGTCACATTGGAACATGGAGTACCAGGTATTGTACGAGAACTGCAGAAAAAGTTTAGAGGTCAAAAGTAAAAAATATGGTTTGCCGAGTGCCTGAGTTTAGCGCTCGGCAAAGGAGCCTCTTGGCCGAGTGCCAGGACATATGGCACTCGTCAAAGAAATTTATTTTTTTTTTAAAAAATCCCTCTTTGCCGAGTGCCAGGCCGGGTGGCACTCGGCAAAGAATTTAAAAAAATTAAAAAATATTTTGCTGAGTGCCAGATAGGGGCACTCGGCAAAGATTTTTTTAAAAAAAAAAACCCTCTTTGCCGAGTGTCAGGCCAGATGGCACTCGGCAGAGAATTAAAAAAAAATTAGTTTGCCGAGCGCCAGATCGGGGGCATTCAGCAAAGGGGGGATTTAACCCGGCCAGCCCAGCCGACCCACACACACCGCACACACGCACACACTCACGCAGGCAGACCGCGCCAGCGCCGTCGCCACCGTCGCCGCCGCCCGCGCCCGCGCCGCCCCCCGCGCCACGCCGCCGGAGGAGGAGGAGAAAGAGAGGAGGAGGAGAGGAGGAGAGGAGGAAGAAGGAGGAAGGAGGAGGAAGAGAAGGAGGTCGCCGAAGCAACGGTGCCTTCGCCCTCGCGTGGTCCTGTAGTGGCGCCGTAGCAACGTCGCCGGGGCGCGGCGCGGCCCTGTAGCAGCAGCGACCCGCATCTAGGCATCACGGTCGCGGCGGCGCAGTCCTACAGCAGCGGCGCTCCCTCGCAGCGCTCTCCGAGCTGAATGGTCACCTTGCTCGTCATGCTGTGCTTCGCCGTTCTGCAGTGGTGAGCCCCTATGCCGTCTCCGCCTGATGGATGTGGATGCATGAATAGATTAAGATGTCTTGGTTAGGTTTTGTAATTTAGGGATCTAGAGTTAGGGTTACTGTACATTCCTATGCATGTTTGTCTCCTAGAAATAAAGGATAAAAATTAGGGACTTTGATTTCCCTTGTGTATTGAACAATGTATAACTTCCCAAAGGTCACTAAACTAACTCATACATTCTTGCTTATATGTGTTGGAGAAATATTAGACACTACCTCACTCTTTTCAAGATTTCAGTAGCATTTGTTACATTGCTAAATGTTCCTTCATCTACATATATTAGTAATGGGATACAGATCCTGAATTTGTAATTCCTGATCCTTGCTTATCCTGATTACGTTGCTAGGTGTTCCTTACATAATCTTGTGCATGTCGGCCATCGTGCCGTTCATATATATGTGCATGTCGGCCATCGTGCCGTTGGTTTTCTTGTAGGTTTTGGAAACCTCACCGTGCAGGGGAGGTGCTGCTAAAATTTTGTATGGACAGTTTTATGTTTCTTTTTTTGCAGAGAAGAGCCCGTCGGAGCGGAGCCGGAGTACCTCGGCGACCCCGATCGCCTTCCTCGCCGCTACGGGTCTGCCTGCACCGCGTCACCTCGCCACTGCACCGACCCGCCACAGCCCCGCTAGCCTGACTCCACCGCCACCTTAGGTATAACCCCTCTTTCCATATCATGGTCGTAGATCACGTAACCCAGTTAGGCGTCTCCTGTTCGAAAGAGATACGATTGGAAATATGCAGATATTTCCATATCTAAAACCGTATCTGTTTCGAATTGTCCATGTTTTTTGGACAGCCCGTGGATGCGTAGGTGGGGTTAGTTTTCATGGTATGCTCCGATCCGAGATAGAGTTTCGGCATCATCTTGTTGTTGTTCTCCAGATACACACTCTCCCTGGCAGGACGTGTATTTGGAGAACAGCGGGAAGGTGCTGCCGAAATTCTATCTCGGATAGGAGTAGAGCATGGAAACTAACCTCATCTACGGATCCTCGCGTGGGATTAGGACATATCCTCACCTATTAGATAGTAGGAACGTCGTGTAGATGCAATTGATGTTTATATTACTCGCCGCTATATATGTTAGAGGATGGAGGACTGTGAGTGGATGTACATGGGCCACGCAAGTCAGGGTCAGGTCATCAATGAATGGATCGACAAGACCGATGCTTTCTTGAAACGGGCATTTGGCGTGGCTGCTAAAGGAGCGAGTAAAATTTGCTGTCCCTGTAGCAAATGTGTAAACAGGAAAAGACAAACGAAGAATGTCATGGGGGAACATCTTTGGAAGAATGGATTTACGACAAACTATACTCGGTGGGTCTACCATGGTGAAGCCGATCGTATGAGAGAGGAGGTGGTGAGACCACGCGTCGAGGATTATGATGCTGATGCCGGGGTAGTAGACATGTTAAATGACTATCACGAGGCACAGTTCGCTGAAGGACGTATGGAGGAGGAGCCAGAGGCAACCGCAAAGGCGTTCTACGACATGTTTGCCACGGCACAGAAACCCCTTCACGGCCAGACAATGGTTTCTCAACTAGATGCCATTGGACGCATAATGGCGTTAAAGTCCCAGTATAGTCTGAGTCGAGACGCCTTCGATGGTATGTTGACGATTATTGGCGACCGCTTCGGAGGGTCACCTTTCGCCAAAAGAGCATGCACGAGTCACAAAAACTCCTTCATGCACTTAAGATGCCGTATGAGCAGATACATGCTTGCCCGAAGGGGTGCGTCCTATTTAGGAAAGAATATGTGGAAGCAAAGTACTGTCCAAAGTGTAAATCCTCTAGGTTCCTGGAGGTAGATTCTGGTGATGGCCAGAAGAGGCAGCTTGATATTCTCGTGACAATCCTACGTCACCTTCCGTTCATACTGAGGATCTAACGGCTATACATGACCGAGGAATCCACGAAATAGATGACATGGCACAAAAATGACAAACGATACAATCCTGACAGGATGGTACATGCATCCGATGGTGAAGCATGGACCCACTTTGATGGCATTCATCATGAGAAAGCTAAAGAGGCTCGTAATGTACGTGTTGCGCTGGCAACAGATGGGTTCAATCCTTATGGAATGATGGCTGCCCCATACACATGTTGGCCCATGTTCGTTATCCCCCTCAATCTCCCCCCCGGCGTATGCTTTCAATGACAGAACGTATTCTTGTCGTTGATAATTCCTGGACACCCGGGGAATAATATGGGTGTGTTCATGGAGTCTACGATTGATGAATTGGTCCATGCTTGGGAGGAAGGGGTATGGACATACGACCGAGCTATAAAGAAAAACTTCAAAATACATGTTTGGTACCACTACTCTCTGCATGACTTCCTGGCGTATGGGATATTCTGCGCCTAGTGTGTTCATGGGAAGTTCCCATGCCCAGTATGCAAGAAAGGTCTGAGGTTCATTTGGTTGCAGAAGGGTGGCAAGTATTCATCGTTTGACAAACATCGGTGATTCCTCCCTCTTGACCATGCATTCAGACGAGACATCAAGAACTTTACGAAAGGTGTTATAGTGGCAGACCCTGCACCACCGATAATGACTGGTGCCGCGGTTCATGAACACATAGATGGTCTCGTGGTCAATCCAGAAGGTGGTTTTGTGGGATATGGAGAGCAACATATGTGGACTCATAAGTCGGGCTTGACTCGGCTCTCCTATTTTGATGACCTT